GATAGATAGATAGATAGATAGATAGATAGATAGATAGATAGATAGATAGATAGATAGATAGATAGATAGACAGATAGATAGATAGATAGATAGATAGATAGATAGACGCGTGCATGCATAGACATACATGCTGGTTGCACTGATGATGCTGATGATGCTGGCGTTGCTGCTGATGATGCTGATGCTTCTGCCGTTCATGCTGCACCTCTTCAGGAGCCGCGCCTCGCTGTCACATTCATTGAAAATCACGACACCGACCACCTTGACTACTGCCGCACCTTTTGCAATGGGGAGCTCAACGGCGTCGTAGGTGCTAAGGAATAAGGCCTACACCCTAATCCCTAAGACGAGCCCTAACGCTAAACCCTAAACCGCACACTTCCGGCGCTGTGCTACTGTGAGGACTCAGCTTCAGGGATACGCAGTCATCTTAACCCATCCTGGTATACCTTGCATCTACTGGAACCACTTCTCTGACTACGGCGACTACTGCCGGTAGGCATTCACAAAACGCAAACCCTAATCCCTAAACAATAAATCGTAAATCCCATGTGCTAAACCCGAGGCTGCCACTGCGCAGGCAAAAGCTGCAAGAGCTCTGCGACGTCCGGACTTCAATGGGAATTCACAGCACGAGCGGCCTCTACATTGATCGGTAAACCCTAGACCTTAAACCTTATATCCAAAACCTCAGCCTAGACCTCCACATGCCCCATTTTTTCTTTGCGTCGCTCCGCCACTACATGCCTAGGCCATCAAGCCCTAAACCCTAAACCCTGAACTCGCAAGCAAATCTTAATGCCCGGGGATCAACCAGGCGCTTTAGCCGAATCCTCAATCCCAAAATCCTAAGCCCGAAGTCCCATATCCTCAACCTAACAGTGTGGAAACTGCCGCATTTGTTTTTGTCAGAGCTGAGAGAGGCCTTTATACTGCATGCATAACCCCCAAAGACAGCTCATGCCAACCGCAAACAGCGCGCGTTGCTGTAAAAGTAGGTTGGGAGGAGTGGCAACCCCAAGGCGAAGGTTGGAAGGTCGCTACATGCGGACACAACTTCTGCGTCTGGACCCGCTAAACATATCAGCAGCAACACCGGCAGCAGCACCACAGACACCAGCAGCAACAACTAGAACTACACCAGAAGCAGCGGCACCAATACCAGCATAAACAGGAGAAGCGGCACGAGCAGCAGCATCAACTAGAGCGGCAATAGTAGCAGCAGCAGTAACAGCATCCGCAGCGGCAACAGTAGTAGCGGCAACAACGCAGCATAATCAGCAGCACAAATAGCAGCTGTTGCTGCTCGTTATCGTTTTCATGGAGATGGCCCTAAGAATTTGCTCAACTCTCCCGAAACCTCGGGGACCCGCGAACAGCCAGGATTGTTCCCGTGGCCACGACCTAGGGTTTACGGTTTAGCGCGTGCTTATCTTGCTCTCACACGAGGGGCGTATCGCATTGGCTTCAGAGGCTTGGATTTGCCTCCCCGTTTTTTTATCTCTCTCTTGATTTCTTTTTAGAGCCGAAGAGCCGGGGTGAGTCTGCCGATTGTGCTGCTGCTGCTGCAGCAGCAGCAGCACCACGCGGGTTTTCATTTGCCTGCATGGAGCCCTTAGTTTCTAATTGTTTCCTTCTTTTGTTCTATTTCCCAACATTTGCGTTCGTCGCCCGCATAAGGAGCAGCAAAAGGAGCAGCAAAATGCCTCTAGAGAAAGACAAGGCTCAATGTCTCTTCTCATCGCACGCAGAAACCCTCGACCCTAAATTCTAAGATTTTAAAGCCGGCACCGCTGGAACAATTACCTATGCTTTTTAAACCACAATCTTTTAATATGGGCACTGGGACATGGAGTAGAAATTATGGTTGGGGATTCACGGTTTAGTGTTTATTATATGGGGTCTAATGGTGTGGTTTGAAGGTATAGGTCCCGGAGTATCAGGTTTGCGGTTAACAGCATAGAAGTCTAGGGCATACAGCGTAGAACACGTGGCTTGAGCCTTCATCTAAGGGTTCAGGGTTTAGCGTTTAAGGTATAGGGTTTCGGTCTGGCAGGAGTGATGGAGAGACGGTGGAGCGGTCCGCGGAAATTCAAGAAAAAATCTCCCCTCTTTCCGGGCTGCAGAACGAACAAACCAGATATCAAGAACTAGTTGTGTGTAATCTAGGGTTTAGGGTTTGGGGTTTGGGGCGAAGAGCAACACAACGATACCGACAGAATTAACTCTACTCTAATCTCAATTCAGTATATTCTCGTAAGCTGAGAGGAAGTTGTTGGAGGTCTCTGTGGAGCGAAGAGGAAATGTTATTACCTGTGACTATCTTTATGCTACATGCACGTATCCAGTTGGCGCCTGTGCATGTATTCTATGCATGTAATCTATGCATGCGTTCGACTAACGCAGTGCATGCATGTATAGAATTTATGCATACATGCAACTTGTACATAAATGGGAACTTATACATGTAGGCGCCCATGCATGCATATACTGCTTGCATGCATCTATCATCGGGTGCATGCAGCCTATGCATGCATGTTTGCACAGCAATACAGGCCCACCTTCCAGGTTACGGGCATTACGGTGTATTCCTCAGAGCTTCCGGGTGTACATGCAAAGCAGACAGTCAGTGAAATTTTGTTACCAACCTGAAGGAATCAACAACGGACGCACCACCAGTCTACGAACCCTGCTGTAAACGTCTTCTCATAAGCTCGACCCTAGAGAGGCGTTTGGCTGCGTGAGGCCCCTTAAGTGCCCACCGTAAAACCTGTCTGGTGCATTAAGTCCTCTTGACATAGATTTTTCCCCTTAAAGACGTAAAGCCCCATCATACATCCTGCCGTGTCCTGCAGTCGTCCATCTCACTCCCTCCCGAAGCCCTAAACTCCCTCCCCTAGTTGTAAACCGTATCCCCCTTCCTCCAAAAGCAAAGGGGCCGAGACATGTAACCCTATGCCGGGCCAATCGATTGCGGGAAAACACGTGATAGGCGCCTGAGAGGGTCTAGGGTTTAGGGTGAGATATTCCGACCTGCTCTTTCTGCTTAGCCCAGCAGTCGTCGTGCCTAGCGAGCGTCAGTTCCACTTCGGCTGTTTCCGTAGCAACAACATGATAAGTAGGGTTGGAAGTCCAATCTACACTTGCCCTCTTTCGAGGGGTTGGTGGAGATGTTTCTTCGCCTGTTTCTCCTTTATTGGATGATGCATCTTTGTAAATGCCCACACACACAACCAGAGCCTCCAGGTCGCATGTTTAGTCGCAGACCGACAAGAAACCCAGCTACTGTACCGGCCCTAAACCGTAAACCTCACACCCTAAACCCTCACTGCTAAACAGCAAACCCTTAATCCTAAAGCCTAACCCTGATTAGCTGCTTCTCGGTGAGGTGACGTCAGCTGCATGGGGAAATTCTGACAGCCCCCGGCAGTTTCCGCATCCCAGTGGCCAACTAGCGTTTGATGCGAGTCGCTGTCCAACGCTGCAACAGTCTAAAGGGACTCAAAGAGGCAGGCTAAACCTTAAGCATCGAACCCTTAGACTGGTTTGCACTCGGTGGAGGCTACTACTTGTCGTGCCTCGACCTAGGCCCGAAGTTCGAAATCATGGATATTGAACCGTTAGCCAGCAAACCTGAACCATGAGGACTACATCATAAAGCCTAAAACATACAATCTAAGCAAGTCACCTGCAGGGGTAAGTCGCTGAAGATGCTCAACCCAAATGATCCAGGGGTATCAGGAATCTCCAAGAACGGCGACACTATGAGCGGGCCCTGCACAGAACGCGCAGCGAAACTCTTAAACCTAACCCTCAAGCTCTAAACCGCAAACCCCTACACCAAAACCCTCTACCATGGCTGTTGCTTACAGCTCCGCTGCGAACGTTAAGTTTGACGCAGCATTTGTCTTCCCCGAAGCTTTCAACAAACCACTCATCGGGTTCGATCTGCAGGGGCGAACGCCTTCAAGAGCTTGCAGGATGATGGAAGGAGGTACCGAGAAGACGAGACCCAGGTGGTCATATTTAGGCATTTAGTTTTCATGTGCTATGCCGTACCCGCAGCAACAACGAACCCAAAGCCCAAATCCCAGAGCCTCCACAGAGACTTCAAGCGTCTCACCGTGAGCTTTCTGTACAACTTGACTGGAGGAGGGGGAGGCGCTACCAAGAAGCAGTTGGCGCTGCAGTCGCCGCCCAGAACACATAAACATAACGAGTACATCACTGAAGTACTCACCACCAAATATCCACGCAGAGCCAAATCCTCAGGTGTATGAAAGCCTAAAGATGCCACCGGAGAGTATTGGAGTCCGCCGGGTGTGTTTGTATATGCGTATATTTCGTAAATATATATTTATTTTCTAAGCATCTGTTGTTTGAGTGTGTCGTGTATGTTGTAATAGTTTTATTGTGCAGGCTGCAGTTGTTCGCTTTATGATTCGTGTGTGTTTGCTGTGTGTTCATTGTTTGTGCTGAATGCATATGCAATGTTTGTCCTCATTGCATACGTATGGCTCGTGCTTATTGTACATATATTTGCTGTTAAATGTGTTAATGGCTTTACTCAGAAGCTTGCGAAGAACCGCTAGCCAAGATTTCTCCCAGGTCATCGGGATTCTTTGGGTCTCTCATCAAGGCCGCCACGAGCCCCACCTGCAACAAGAGCAGCACCAGCAAAGGCAGAAGCAGCTCTAGCAGCAAGAGAACCCGTGCAAGAAATACCAACCAAAATTACAGCAGCAAGCATACCCAAAACGTTCTTTGTGACCGCAGCGAGGCAACTGACGACTCTTGCTTCTTTGTTGGCTCGCTGTACCCTTGTTTGTCTAGCTGACAAGGCGTCATTCGGCTGCTTAGCGGACCAGGTAGGTAGATAGCTAGCTGTGCGTTCATCTGGATTCCCAGATAGCATGCTACCCGACCACGTTGCTCGCTCTCTAGCTATCTAGGTGCCAGGAAATTTCATTTAAAGTTGCTCACACGGGTAGGATGCTCATTCTTCTTTCGTGTTTTCTGTCTTGAGACGACAATACAAATTGTAGTTTCGGGGGCGCTGCAGGAGAATGCATCGGCTGTCTAGGTACTGATACTTCAGTCTAGCACACCGCGTGGCTGTGCATACTCCCCAGTGCTGTGTGGAGACAAGCCAGAAGGCGAAGGTCTAGAAGGGGAGGGGGAGGATAACCAGCCGAGCTTGCCAAGCTATCTAGCGTTTTCAGGAGCTAAGAATACATTTGCCTCCTACATCTTACCTCGGGTTTGCATACACCGCATACTGAGGATTTGTTGGCCACTTAGAGTTAAACGCAACTCGCCGTTGGCCGCCGAATGTCAGCAGTCGCCCCCCTTCAAATCCCACACCTTGAATATATATATATATATAATAT